GCCCCCTGGCCCCGTGTGCGACCTGAGCCAACCAACCGTTTTCATTATCTACATTTCCAGCAGTTAAAATGGCAGCTCCTGGGTGTTACCTGTTCTCGTTCGGTGTTGCGTGTCTGAGCTCAGCAGCCTGCCCCTGGCCCTGCCCCTGGTCTCCTGCAGGGAGCTGGTAGATACCAGCCTCCAGCTCTCTCTGCAGGACTTCGGCACCTTCTCACGTCCAGCACATCAAACGATCTTCTAAACCCCATCTCCGATTCATGCCGGCCTGGCCCCCTCCCCCAGGCCACATCGGGACTGGCATGATCTTGCTGCCTGTCTACACTGGCTGCGAGTATTTGCGCAAGAACACTGACTTTGTGCTGTACAAAATCAGTGGTTCTTGCGCAAATAATCCGACGCTCCCGCTCAGGGATAAGCCCTCTTGGGCAAGAGGCCAGTATAGACAGACAGGTTAATCTCTTGCGCAAGAGAGCGTCTACACTGGCACGGATGCTTTTGCGCAAAGGCACATGCCAGTGTAGACGCAGCCCCACTGTGGCCAGACCGTGCGTGGAGCTCACGGCCCGTTTCAGGCTGCACCATGGCTGCCGAGGCTGGGAACTGACCATCCAGGACATCAGAATCAGGCCCCTGCCCCAGTAATGAGTTACTGTTCCTCCTGGTCTCGGACCATCTGCAAACTTCACCAGTGATGGGTTCATGGCTCCTTCTAGGCCATTGCTAAAGCGTTGATAGCGCAGGGCCAGGAAGTGACCCCGCAAGTCCCTGCTGGACCTGGCCCTGCGCCCCACACACACTTGCGTTTGGCCAGGTTTTAATCTACGTAGCGTGAGCAAGGCTAATTGTCCGTCGTTCTCGGGTTTTTAATCAAGATGTCCAGTACTGAGTCACTGCCTTGGAGACAGCTCGGTATTTCAGCAGGTCTATTCCCATCAACCCACGTTCTGTGTTAATGGAGTCCTGGATCAGCCGCGCCTGGGATCAGTGTCATGGAGCGGCCTATAACGACCATTTACCCTTAACACTTGTTTCCTAAAACCAGCGTTTCAAGACTTAAAGGGCTTTCCCCAAACTGTAGGATGCTGGATCTGCTGAAAATGTTTCACTTTAGTAGCTGCTGTGCACTAGCCTCTAGAAATACCAGTGGAATGGAGCAATGTCAGCAGCACAGGCCATGGCTCTACCGTCCATCCGTCCCCCCCCCCAATAGATTGCCTACTTCTGCCTCCTCATTGATCATTCTGCCATTTCCAGCTAATGGCAGACCGAGACCATTGCGCCATTAACAAGCCCTCGCATCCTGCAGGTGTAATTAGCTCTTCTTACAGATGGAGAAACTGAGGCAGGCAGCCTGAGCGACTGCCCCAGTTCACACAGTCCACCTGTGGCAGAGCTAGAACAGGAGCCTGACTCCCAGTTCTCTGCCTTAGCCATGCACGTGCCGTTTGCCGTCTGCTTTCTACTCAGCCCTTTCCCATCAGCTCCCAGCTCCTGCCCCTCAGTCTAGCTCAGGGTTGGGTAAAATACGGGCTCGGAGTCAGAGCCGGCCCACGGACAACCCTGCCGGGACCCTCAGGCACCATGTGGCTCTGCTCTGCAGTCAGGGGGAGGCTTTGTGTGATCCCCCCCAGTCTAATCCTCAGCTCCTATTGGCTGGAAACAACCAACCAATAGGAGCTGAGAGATTGGCTGGGGGGGGTGGGGGCAATGCAAACCTCTTCCCCCTCCCGGAGCTGAGAGCCACATGGAGAGAGCAGGCTACATTTTTCAAATGGTCTGGGGCTGGAGAAGGCAGGAGCCTCAGTCTGTCTTGGCGGTGCTGCAGGTCTGCTGTCTGGGAGATTTTTAGGTAAGTGCCTCCCAGCCAAAGGCTGCCTCTGCCCCTGCCCCTTCTACACTTCAATTCCCTCCCCAGGTCACCAGACAAACTCTCTGCAGTCTGTACCCCCTTTTTCCCTTCTCCCAGGTCACAATTCCCTCCTAGACTTTGCACCCCATCCTGGAGCCCCTCCCCCAGACCAGAATCCTCTGTTGCACTCATACGCCTTTATCCTACACTCCGCCTACACCTCTCCCCCAGGCCAGAATCCTCTCCTGCACCCAAACACCATCCCAGACCCTGCACCCCAATCCCCTGATCCACAACCCCCTCTCTCCTTCACCCAACTGCCCTCTCAGACCTCACACCATCTCCGGCACCCCAGTCCTTTACCCTGTGCGCCCTTCTGCCCCCAACCTCCGCCCTAGACCCTGCATCCCCTCCACAGAACAGTGCAGCCGCTGACCGATTACCAAAACCCTGGGCTATGTCTACACTGGTGGCTTCTTGCGCAAGAAAACGTCCACACTGCCAGGTGCGCGCTGTGTTTTTGCGCAAGAGCTCCCACGGCAGTGTGGACGCTCTCTTGCGCAAGAAAGCTCCGACGGCCATTTTAGCCAGAGGGGTTTCTTGCGCAAGCAACCCCGGCAGAGCGTCCACACTGCCCTCCTGCGCAAGAGGGCTCACACCTGTTAGAAAAGAGCAGAGCTCTTGCGCAAGACGCCCTCTCGTACCACGTCGCAGTGTGGACGCTCCGCGGAGTCTTGCGCAAGAACCCGCCAGTGTAGACACAGCCTGGGAGTGGCCCCCACCAAAATGATTCCCCTCCCCCAGTCTAGCTTGGGCTGGCTGTCCCTGTCAAATAGGAGCTGTCCGGCTCAGTTTGGAGGGAGGAGACGTTGGCCTTGTTCCCCCCCAGGCTGCACTCTCCCCCCTTGGCGGGCAGGTGGTTGCAGCTTCTGGCCATGCCGCCCTGGCGGGCTCCGGGAGTGGTGGGTGACATCTCGCTCTGTGCCGCGGGTGAGCATGAGACCTTGCTGTGCGCCCGGCTGCATCCCTGCCCGGCCCAGCCCGATCACCAAGCCCACTCTGAGCCCGGGGCTGGACTCGGCCCCTGCTGTCAGCCCGGGCTGGTGCAGCAGGCCAAGCGGCTGCAGTCGGCCCCGCACAGGAATGTTTGGAACCGAACTCGGCCTGCGTGTACGTGCCGCTCCCCAGCTTCATCAGCCTCCCCCGGATCAACGTGGGGCCTGAATTCGCTCCTCAGAAACCTTCCCACGCTGGGCACGAGCAGAGCCCTTCGGCACAAGCCAGCAGCTGGGCCAGGCCCTTGGCAGAGCCCCTCACCAAGCCCGCCCTCCGGCCGGCTGCACGCCTCACCGGGCAGGAGGGAAGCAGCAGGCGTCCGGTGTCCCTGTGAGAGGCCAGCAGGCGGCTAGAAGCGCTGGGCACTGCTCAGATTGCTGCTCGGGGCAGCAGCTGTCGGCAGGGCCCCCGCCGGGCGCTGTCCCTTTGGAGCCCGGGCCATGCGGGAGCCTGGGATGAAGACGATGGGAAGAACGATCAACGCCAGCAGCAGGACAGCGCCCCAGAGCACGGCCAGGCGCCGCTCCCACACCAGCCGGCACAGCCCCCTGCACAGGGCCAGGCAGGGCGGCTGGTAGGTACCGATCAGGCCCCCTCCGCTGGCGTCCCGGGCCGCCGGGTTGTGTAACAGCTCCACTGTAACCAGCGTCTCGGGGGCGTCTTCTCCGACGCTCGCTGGCCTGGGCGAGGGCGGCCGCCTGGCCCAGCACAGCCTGTGTCCGTCTAGCCAGACCTCCTGCAGGGGCTGCTGCCACGGGGGGAGCTGGGCCACGATGTCCGTGTTGGGCGGGAGCTTGGGGACCCCCCCGTCGGGGACGGGCACCGGGGCTCTGCAGAGCGGGCAGGGGAAGGCCTGGGCTGGTCTCACGAAGAGGCAGATCCGCGCCAGGCACTCCAGGCAGACGGTGTGAGCACACGGGAGGAGCAGGGGCCTCTGGAAGACGCTGTTGTAGGGGCTGTAGCAGACAGGACACTCCGGGGGCTGCGGCTCAGGCTGGTTGGGACGGCGGGCCATAGCCGGGGGCCAGCCCCAGC